CCAACATCCCGCCACGCTCTGTTTTTTCCATCGTGGCAGAGAGCATGCAGCGGATGAAGCGCAACAAGGCGCGGGCCTCGATGGAGTCCCCGTCGAGGTGCTGCAGGCTGCCGGGGACGCCCCGGCCGTGGAGATCGTTGAAAGCACGTGGAATGGTGGGAAGCACAACGTGGCTGGCCGTCTGCGTGGAAAGACGGCAAGACTTTTGACGCGTACAAGCGCAAGGGAGATAAGACGATGTGTCATAACAGTCGCGGGATGGTACTGCTTGAGCACACGTTCAAAGTGATATTCGGTTGAGGCATGGGCTCAGTGAGTGTCATGCACCCGCTGCAGATGCCCAAGTCCCAGTTTGGCGCTGTCCCGCATGGTGGCTGCGACTTTGCCACCCACGAGTTTCCGGCCGCCGTTGACCTGGCCCGACTCGAATACATGTCGATACGTGTCCTCGTCATAGGCTTGACTAAGGCCTTTTGACAAAATTGTTCGCGAATTAGCGATTGGTTTTACTCCCGAGAGTGCGATGGACCCCATGTCACATCTTCGATCTCGTGGATTGTCCGAACGCCAGACTACATGGATTGTTTGGTTTTTGAAGACACAAGGTCCACTTCTGCAGCGATGGGGCCTGGACCCGCCGGTGATAGAGCTGCTCCGCGACGCCCCAATGTGTCGCTTGTCGCACACGGTTCGAGAACATCGAGAGCGATTACACAGAAGGGCGACCGCCAAGGATGTCAGTCTGGCGCGCGCGCGTTTAACATTGTATTTTCGGTTGGGCCCATCATGCCGCACGTTGCAACGAGCGCAGCTGGCATCGCATTTCGGGCCAGGAGGAGCCCCGACGCGTTCTGGCGCGGCCAACCGGTGGGCCCCGAGGAGGAGCTCGTCGACGTGACCTTCGAGGGCGACGAGTGCATCGCGTTGCTCGCCGAGTTCGCGCGGAAGCTGTCGAACGCCACCCGCGCGTCGTTCGAGCTGCTGGCCTCGACTTTACCGAAGCGATGATCCAGTTCAAGGATCATCGCGCCACGGAATGCTGGAAAGTGTCTGTATCCGGCGATTGGAAGCGCATTCCGCCCCCGCGTTCTGACTTCCAGATCGAGAACCAGATGCGCGTACACATAGAGAGATCGCGCAGGCACCTCGGCGCCAAGGCCACAATCGGCAAGAACCATGTCCTTGACGCGAGACGAGCGTCAGAGCGCGATGTTGGCCTTCGTGCCGTCGGCCACGAAGACTTTGGGAGCGAGCAGATCGCGTTCCATATACGACTCGTCCTTGGCGGTGCGTTAGTGCTCAGCCGACTGCTCTACAACGCGTGCATTCGAGTCCCGTCGACCCAATCCATGTTGCATGTGAATGGTGCGCACATGCGCGTGCATCGGCGAATGCGTGGCCAGCTTCGACACGAGAGATTTCAGCCAGACCATGCTTTCCGAGCCGAGCATAGCATCCTGGACTTGGACTGTGCGCCGATCCGCAGGCGCTTGTTGCATCTGACGGGGTTGCTCGCCCATGGCCCCGAGATAATGACAGCGTTGCTGGCGCAGCGAGGAATGGGAGGCCGCCGAATGCGGTGGTGCGACAGGATCAGACAAGACCTGGAGATGCTCAGGGCCATGGTGTTACCTGGCATGCCTGAGCAGAAAATGTATGTGGAGTGAATGGGTGGCCGTGATCCATTCTGTGAAGTGGGCACAACATGTAGGGCGCTTGCACTGTAGCAAGTCCGTTTTTGACAGCGTGCCGCGCGAGCGCGCGCATGTCGCGAGCAGCACGCGCGCCCAGTGTGTCATCTGAGTTTTCGCTCGCCTAAAGCCTCAGCACACCACGAGAGAATCAAACACTACGCGCGAAAGCCAATGAGAATGATCGTGTCAGTTGATTGTCGCTGCCGTTCATGCGTTCGTATATGTTCGAATCGCTGGCGTCTGCTACGCCACCTGAGTGATAGTAGGCGCCCAAGAACTCATCATACGCATGGAGATCCCCCCTGCGTGGCCCCGATCTCGAGCACTTAGATCGCGAGGAGGCTACAACCAGCCGTTTCGCGAGGAGAGAGGACCACTCCCAGACCCACGCGACTAAGCCTGCCACGAAGCACGGCAAGCGAATCGGGCGGTTTAGTTGAGCGGAGCGAGTACACTTACAGCCAGAAACCTCCGATATGTCAACCAACCCTATGGGCCCCAAAACGTTGGTTGAAATACTCCGCCTTCATCGGGGCTCGGAGGCTGATTCTCGCAGTGGTTGACCTCATGTGTGCCACCGGTGGTGTTGTACGAAGCTGCCTGTAACTCGTCATGACAACCGAGGCATCCTAAGGAGATCCTCGCTGGATGTATCTGTATTTGTTTATGAATACGTATGTGATTGTGCATATGCAGACGGATATGTATACGTGGATGCATATGCATACGCATATGCATATGTTTATGCATGAATGTGTACATGCATTCGTAAAATGATGGGTGCATGTAGATGCATGTGTAGATTTACATGTGTACGTGTGTAAGAATATGTACTTGAATGCATATAAACATTCATGTATACATATAGAGAAAGAAATAGAAATATACAGACCGATAGATGAGAAAGAAAACAGAAAAAGACTCAAAGCGAAAGACAGAGAGGGAGACACACACACACACACACACACACACATGCGCAGACAAACAAATGGTTGGCCCTCCGCGGAGCCATCTTGGAGCCTCTGGTGGCCTCATGGCCCATAAAACCACCAGAAGCTTCGACGTGACGCCAACATGTCCCCACGAGTCATGGGGGCATTTTGGCATTATGTTGAAGCTTCTTGAGGCAAGCCCATAGCAAATGCTTGATGCTCGAGGCTCTCAAGGGGGGGCACCTTGGATCATCTTGATGGAGTTCGAGGGCACCGGGGGGCCTGGCGGGCTACTGCGGAGGGTTCTGAGGGTCCAGCGAGTGCGCGGGGGAGCCCGGGCCCCCAGTCCCCAGCGGGACTTGGGATCCCCAGGAAGGGAGGCAGAGGAAGGATGCGGAGGAGGAGGAGGAGGAGGAGGAAGAGGAGGAACCAGAGCATGCAGGATGGACCCCAAATAGATATTAACCTGGGTATATAATGTTCTGGGATTATTGACCATGGTTCATAACGTCTCGCCCGGAACATTATAAATCTGGGTTTCAATGTTCTGGGAATATTGACTGGGGTTCATAATGTTCCCCCCAGAACATTATAAACCCTGGTGTTTAATGTTCTGGGGATATCGACCCAACAAAAATACTAATTTGGGTTCATAATGTTCCGGGAATACTGACTTGGGTTAATAATGTCCGGGAAATAATGAGCCCGATGTTTCGTATTTCCGGAATGAAAATAATCTCTATTTCCCCCCAAACTCCGGGTTAGTCACCAGGTTTTTCATGTCGCAATATGGACCCCAGTTTTTATTATCTCCAGGAGATAATATACCCGGATTCATAATGTTTCCGGCACATTGACCCCAGGTTAATGATTCTGGAATGATAATGATTGAGCTTGGGGGGTGCCGTTTGCGAGTACGTTCCGGACTGAAATAAACCTTGGTTCGTAATGTTGGAATGTTAAACTTAGGTTGATTATTCCGCAAGGATAATGATTCGGCCAGGGGGGGGCCTGAGCCCGATCCATGCACAGGATAATAATCCATAGGGTATCATCTGAAGATAATGAACCTAGGTTTAAATTCCTAGATAATAAACCACAGTCGACGAGGATTTCGCACCTACCCTCACAGGATGAGGATGAAGAGCCAAAAACATGTCATACGCCTTCTCATCCCGGGCAGGCCAGGGTCGGCGGCGTTTCGATGCACGCGTATGTGCGGTGCTTCTTTTCTTGAAGGTACACCATGTGCCCACGGTGAGCAGGGCGATGGTCCGGAAGCGAGGGCCGTCATCCCCAGCTCCGCCTACTTTCCAGATGCTTGTTGACGAGGGCCCCTTCAAGCAAGGCGAAATTGTCACCTTGGTAGCTCAGAAGCCATGCGCGCAGCGAGGCCAGGATTGGCACTTGCGCAGCTCAACAGGGGAGACGCATTGGGTGTATGCTGATCTTCATGGAACGTTCTTCCGGCGAGTTGACAGCGATAGTGGTGCGGGCTTGTGGATGTGGGCCGATTTAGAAGGATTATTCTTCGAGAAGGCCTCCACAGGCGGACAACAGCAGCGATTTGGGACGAACTCTTGCGAAAGCACGCAGCAAGACGCGAGCATGTATCGAATGGCCTTGGGCCCATCCCGCCACCGTGCTTGGGAAATGGGTATGAAGCCTATTGGATGATCTCGTGGGAGGCCTCTTGGAGGCAGTTTTGAGGTCTCTTGGGGGCCTTTTTGGGGCCTCTCGGGGCCTTTTTAGGGGCCTTTGGGGGGCCACTTGGGACTTGGGGGCCTCTTGGGGCCTCCTGGGCGCCTCTTGGGGCCTCCTGGGGCTGGAAGGCTCGGATTTTCGGTTCGTGCTCCCTCTCTTGGGCCCCTTTTGGGGCCTTCTCTTTGGGAACGTCTTGGAGCGTCGGAAAGTAGAAAAGGCGAGAACGCCAAAATCTTTCTAAAAAAACCGAGGAAACCAATGATTTGTGCCTCTTGGGCCCCTCTTGGGAGGCCTCTTGGGGCGTCTTGGAGGCCGCAGGCGCCATGTTGAGACCATCTTGGGAATCTTGGGACGATCTTTCGGCGATTCGGGGCCCTGTTGGACAGTCTTTGGGGCCTCTTGGGACCCTCTTGGCCCGTCTTGGAAACTTCTTGGCTCCGAAAAAGTCATGCAACAAGACGCGAGGAGCCCCGGTAGATTTCGCGAATTGGGCCCTGGGTCCCACAAAGAAGCTTCAGGAGTGATGGATGAGGCTCAGAGGATCAGGCAAAAGACCTGAGTACACACACACACAGACACACATTCCGTGCCCAAGGGCACGGTGGCGGATTTCGAATTGCTCCTGGACATCGCAGCACGTTTTACTGTTGAGCACACCGGGCCAGCCGCTATGCGAGAGCGCCACAGCGTAGTGCCAGATGCCATTTGCTCTACATTTGGTGGAGTGGTCGACGAGGTGGCGCAGTGCATACAATCCCTCGGCGGTCTCTTCCGTCCCCATGAGTATGTGGCTGGGCCTTGGCAAACCCCTGTCGATGTTGTGAAGCAGGTTCTTCAGTTCCGGTCCGAGTGGAATGAAGTTCTACCTTTGCGTCAGCAGCTCGACCTTGTGCGGCGTGTCTGCAGTATTTTACTCTTAAGTTGCAGTGAAGCAAATGCGGCCGCTGTGTCTCGCCGCTTATGCCAGGTATTGTCCTCTCCAATGCGGGATTTCCTCGCAATCGACAGTGCGCAACTATGCCGTTCAATCGCGGTCATTGCCGAAGAGGATGCCACACTCTTTGACGCCGTCGGTGTCCATTTGGTCCACATGAGCCCTGTGCAGCGCGTGGCCATGCGAGAGTTCCACCAGACCAACCCCGAGATCACGCTCTTGATGTCAGCTCTGGTGACAAGCAAGGGATTCTCCATTGAAGGAGATGCGCCGCGCGTAGCAGACTTCCATAATCAGCTCAAGGTGTTGATTGGCAGCCAGGGTTTGGTGCCGCAGCAGTTGGAGGTGCAGTTGGTTGCGATGGTCTTGGGCGCGCCTGTGCCTGCTAAGGCCATCTGTACACAGCTCGGCTCCGCGAATCAAGGGCGGCCAGAGACAGTGAATCAGCAGGAGCACCAGCAGCGAAACCCAGTCAAAGCAGACGATCGTTTGAAAAAGCGTAGGTTGGCCGTGTGGGAGAGTTTCTTGCAAGTCCTTCGCTTTCAGCCATTGTGGGGCACACAAGCGATGCTTCAGAGTCTCGTGGATAGGCGGCTTGTGCACCGGATCCATCGGTGGTTCCTCGAAACGGCGACCTTAGAAAACGCGCGCGCGCCAGGAGATTTGCAGCGGTGTTTTTTTGTGGACTTGTTGCCCACAGCAATTGCCCGGAATGACCATGAAGTGTCACTTGCACTGTCGTCTTTGGACCACTTGGCCGATTTTGCAGCTCGCCTAGGTGTGGCTCAGAGTACAGCAATAGGGGCCGACCAGTTTCAGTTTGCGCATCCAGCATTCGAGGAGATGTTCCGGAGCCTCTTCAATTATTGGAACCAGCCTGACGTACTCCAGATGTGCGTATGTCCAGCTTTGGAGGCGATGCACGGGCAATTGCTCAACTTGCGATCTCAGCACGCACAGAGCACATGTCTACATCAGATCTTCAACGCGGAACAGATGGCTGTGTTCTTGCAGTATGCCGTGGATTTGTCAGCACACACATTCTGCGGATCAGACATGGACACCATCGGCGAATCGCTCAGGCATGCTTCTACGACCATATTGGCCCTAATCGGCGCCGTCGTCAACTCGGAGTTCCTGAAGGCGACGCTGAGCAATGAAGGCGACGTTTTGAAGCAGGTTTTGCAGTTTTTGCCACGCTACAATGCAGGCTTATGGTGCTGCACCTCGGGCATCCAGATGCTGGCAAGCTGTTTCGGGGCGGTCCGCAGCAGGGAAGAATACGAAGCACTCAGCATGGCGCTGCAGTGCGCGCAGTCCTATGAAGACGTTGCGGGCATGACAGCGTTCCTGGGGAAGGCGAAGGAGGTTTGCACTGTAGTTCCTTCGCTGGTCGAGGCTGCGAAGGCTGGCGGCGCCGAACTTGAATGCCTGTTGTATTACTGCGAGGTTTTCCGCGTTAAGTCGAGCATGGATTTTTGTTGGCACCTTGCACATGCCAATGAGCCCGCGTCTGCCGCGGCAGCATTTGCTTGTCTGGCGAATTTCGGGTTTGGCGTGCCAAGATGCTTAACGAGGTCGAGGCAGGCAAACGAAACAGAAGAGAATGCATGGTGGCGGGTATTGTTTAACTTGCGTTTTTCAGCTGACCGCGGACATTGGATAGCTCAAACTGCGAACATGTTGGGCAAGGAATTTCAAGCGTTACTTGCATACGTTCAATCGTCACGGACCTTCCCCAAGATGAAAGGTTTTCACAGCCGGGTCACTTGGACATCTTGTGCAATGCGCGTTTTGACTGCTACTGCAGCCGCTGCCTGGGAGGAGCCGAATTGCATGTCGAACGTGCTATTGCCGCCAGCTTGCATCCTTGCGCAGACTTTGGCTGACTGGTTGGTCGAGGCTGCTCCAGGCCCTGTCCCGCCCAACATCGACGACGAAGAAGCATTGTTGGCATTGGCTGGTGTCCTCTGCAGCTTCTTGGGACAGTTCGAGACGATCAGTGCGCGCGCCAGTCAGATGCTCTTATCTACCTGCATCAGTGCACGCCCTGTTGGTCAGAAGCTCCGCGCGGCAGCGGACCAAATGAAAGCGTTGCCCTCGATGTGCGTGGAGATGACACCAACGGAGCTCTCCAATCGGGTATCCTGGGTCGTTTTTAATCGAAGACGCCTGCGGCGAATCACCGCCGCCCCCCGCCTTCTAGAATTGCCCATGTGGCCGAGCGATGTGACAAGAGCTCTGCCAAGCTATCGGACCATGTGTTCCTCCAACCGTTGTGGAAACCCATCAGGGAACATTTGGGGGAGAATGGCGGGGAAGATCAGGAGGAGGAGGAGGCGGTGGAGGAGGAGGAGCAGGAGGAGGGGGCATCTTGGGAGCCTCTGGGGACACTCTTGGGACCTCCTGGGAGCTTCCTGGGAGCCTCTTGGAGGCATCTTGGTGGCCTCCTTGGGCCTCTTGGGGGCCTTTGGGGCTTCTCGGGGGCCTCTTTGGCCATCCTGGTGGGCTCCTGGCCCGTCTGACGCCGTCGGAAGCCGTCTTGGGGGCCTCTCTGGGCCGACGTGCCCTCTTAGGGGCCTCTTGGGCCGTTCTCGGGCCATCCTGGAGGCCTCTTGGGCGCTCTGGGGGCGATCTTTGGGGGCTCTCGGGCCGTCTTGGACCATCCAGGAGCCATCTTTGGCCGTCTTGGTGGGCTCCTGGCCCATCTGAGCCGTCGGAAACCGGTTTCGGGGCCTCTCTGGGCCAATTTAGGGCCCTCTTGGAATGCTCCAGGGCCGTCTTGGAGGCTGTCTTGGGCGTTTTAGACGCCTCTTGGGCCATCTTTGGGCCCTCTTGGGGCCGTCTTGAGGGCATCTTGGAGGCCTATTAGGCGATCTTTGGGGGCTCTTGGGCCGTCTCGGGCAGTTGGAAGGCCGAAAAGAAGCAAATACCAAAATCCTTCAAAACCTAAAAGCACAATGATTTGGGCCTCTTCGGGCCTTCCTGGGGGCCCTCTTGGAGGCCGTCTTGGGCCATCTTAGAGCCATTTTGTGCCGTCTTGGTAGGCTCCTGGCCCGTCTCACGCCGTCGGAAGCCGTTTGGGGGGCCTCTCTGGGCCGACTTGAGGCCTTGGAGACTTCTTGGGCCGTCTTGGGGCCGTCTGAGGGGCTTCTTGGGCCGTTCTGGGGCATCTTGGAGGCCATCTTGGGCCACCTTGGCCGTCTTGAAGGCGACTGGGACAACCACCTGGGCATTTTGAGCACCCTTCCAGGTCCTTCCGGGTGGCCAGCGGGACGGGCCGAAGCCCCAGGGGAGAGTTCTTTTGGAAAACGAACCAAAAACAAAAACGGTAGCGTCCAGCACGCCGGGCACCCCATGGGACAAGCACAGGGGGCGGCGGACATTGAGCGGCCACACAGTTTGGAGAAGTCCCCCTGGATGGTCACGCGCATCTCAATGCTCAGAGCTGCGTCAGGTTTGACACCGCAAACGGATGAGCTGGATGCGGCGCAGCAGCCCGCTATGGATGAGTCATTCTCCGACCCATTGGAGGCCACATTGTCGGATACCATGTTGAATGGTTTCTTCAGTTCTCTGGATCCACATTGCAGGTTCGTGCCTTCTGCATGCCTCTACCCAGAAAATACCGTGGTTTTTCGTGGGCTCGGCGATCGCGACGGGCAGAAGCGCTCGACGCAGTCTGTGATCGATCTGCTGTGCTGCGGTATGACGGTGGCGGACCTGTCGCAGTCAAATCCTTTCGGTCAGACATCGTCGAAGGCAGGCCAGCTTTTCTTCACTCATGTTCTGGCGTCGGCAACCTCGGAGTTGACCGGGGCGATGTTCTACCTCACGAAGGACTTTTCGAACGGGGCGCTGATCGCCGTGGACGCCCGGCACGTGAATCGCGCAATTCTTCGGGGCGACTACCGTTTTGAGATGGAAGAGGTGATGCATGTAGTCCTTTACGATCAGGTGCCGTTGTCAGCGGTCTCCGTTCTGTTCTTGCCCAAGCTGTACGAGCACGACGTCACCTTGGTGTACTCGAGTGACGACCCCATGCCAGAGTTTCTCGTGCCCGATTTCCAAGCGTTGACCACGACACAGGTCAGCTTGATGCGATTGGGACTACGCTCCCGCCGGGCCGAGGCAGAGCAAACTTTCTTTGATCGTGCATTGAGATTTGTACCCGCGTCCGAGCAGCTGGACGCTTGGACGCACAATGGCCAGGGCTTGTTTCAATTTGTTGCTAGTGAGCTGGAGGGTCGCAAGCTGGAGCTGCTCAGGGACAGCGGGCACGCGTTGTTGCAGAATCAGGCGATGGCCTCCGAGCGCGCATGGGTGCACCGAGGGCCAGAGATTGCCATGGAGCTCGCGAAGTACATACCGACCTCGTTTGCACCAGGTATGCTTCCGAGTGCCAATGGCGACGGATTGGCACATTGGCTTTGCGAGTGCTACTCGCGGTGCTGCGATGGGCAGTTCCTGAAGCTCTTCCTACTGACGGAGCCATTCCTCCCGACGCTGGTGCGCTTGCAGGATCTCGTGCCACAGAGGCTGCGGGTCCCTCTGGCCACGCGCAACGCTGCGGTGCGCAGCAACGCGGTCGAGTTTTGTACGCGGATCAAGGAGCAGGAGCTGAGGAATCGAAGCATCTTCCGATTAGTACGGACGCTGTTCGTGCCCATGGGTTGCAAAGAGACCGCACCGTGCGTGCTCCTAGGCGTGGAGGACATCAGGGGCGTAGCGGTCGCGCGCGCCGAGGACTTGCCAGGCTTGCGCTTGCTCGTGCGCGCCAGCGGGCTGCTCGTGATGCTGCCCGAGGTCGTGCGGCACCTGACGGTGCGCCATCCGTGCGGGTGTTCTGGAGCTGCGCTGCAGGAGTCGATTGTTGATCTCGCTTTCAAGCAGAATTTCCTTAAGACTGGTCACACAGCACGTGCGGGGCGTTCCAGAAAGGTCCTCGCCTTCGGGGGATCGAGAAGCTGCCATATGTTCCTCGGCGGCAGGCGGCGGAAGTAAAACGGGGCCAGCTCCGCCGACGGAAACCAGTGTAAGTAAAATTTCGTGTTCGAATAGTTGTGGGGGTGAATTCGGATTTTCGGAGCGAGCCAGATATAATCTAAATGATGGGTCGTTTTTCGCCAAACCTGCCACCGTGCCTAGGTCGCGAACGAGGCGCATCATGAAATCTTGTCGGAGGCCCTAGGACGGTTCATTTGGAGGCCTCTTCAGGGGCTTCTTCAGAGCCGATTGAATCATTCTGGCGATCTCGGTCTTTCTGTTGATGGGGATGACTCGAGTTTTCAATGTGAGTTCCCCCTTTGGGGCCCTTCTTGAGAAAGTCTTGGGGCGACCGCGATTATTTCCTGGGCTGTCGTGGAATGGTTCGATTCTGGTGCACACAGCTGCGGGGAGCCAAGCTATGCTAAGACGCGGTGGCAAGTGCAGACGGGAACGAACGCCATGGTTCAGCAAAAGCTACATCTGTATAGACTTGCCTGTGCACATTAAAGTGGCACGCGCGTGCCCAGGCTCATACAAGAAGCGACGTGGGCCACCGATGTGATGGCCGCAGCTTGCGATTAGACGAATTGCTGAGAAACACCACATGGGCATTGAAGAACATAGGTTGGATCAAAGTTGGAGAAGTACAATAGGAACCAAAGAACAACATGTTCCCTCATAGCCATTTGCGAGGTCACGGGTTCCTGGTGTGTTTTCGAAGGTTGTCTTACGCGATACCGTAAACCGTTGCACAACGAAGGGTGTTCTGACAAGTGTGCGCAGAATCATGGAAATCCGTTGTGTTGTAGATGTCATGTTAAGATTTTGAAAATCAATCGTGCACGTTTGACTTTGATGTCGCGAACTGCGTGAGGGGCACGTTCGATTTGCAGAATGCTGAGGATGTCCTGGGCGAAACAGCCCGAAAAAAGACGAAGGGCGACCATTAATTCCTTTTGAGATCTACTCCTTCGGAGGGGTGCGTATGATTCCAAAAACAGTGCTTGCATCTAGGATTTTTGAGTGGTTGTCTTAGGTAACTGGATGGGTGTGACGAGGATTTGTGATCTTCGCCATCCTGTGGCCGCCTCGTGGCCGCCTCGTGGCCGACCACATGGGGTGTGTGTCCAGGTTTCGCCACGTCGCCGCCCATGGCCGCCTCGTGGCCGCCACCTTGGCCAGTGCGTCGAGGTTTCGCCACGTCGCTGCTTCGTGGCCGCCTACTTGGGGTGTGTGTCGAGGTTTCGCCCTGTGGACGCATCGTTGCCGCCCACTTGGGGTGTGTGTGTGTGTGTGTTTGTGTGTACATGTGCTTGTGGTTGGGGTTGTGCCTGGGCTTGTGCTTGTGCTTGTGCCTGTGCTTGCGTTTGTGATTGGGCTTGGACTTGTGCTTGCGTTTGTGCTTGTGTTTGTGGTTGTGGTTGTGGTTCTGTGTGTGGTTGTGGTTGTGGTTGTGGTTGTGTTTCTGTTTGTGGTTGTGGTTGTGTTCGTGTTTGTGGTTGTCTTGGTGTTGATGTTTGTACGTGTTTGTATTTGTGTGTGCTTGTGTGTGTTTGTGTGTTTGTGTATGTGTTGTGTAAATATGTGTGTTGTATGCGTGTTGTGTGCGTTGTGTTTGTTGTGTGTTGCGTGTGTGTTGTGTGTGTTGTGTGTGCTGTGTGTGTTGTGTGTGCTGTGCGTGTGGTGTATTGTGTGTGGTGTGTGTGCGGTGCGTGTGTGAGGTGTGTGTGTGTGGTGTGGTCTGGTCTGGTGTGGTGTGGTGTGGTGTGTTGTGTGTTGGGTGTATGCTGTGTGTGTGCTGTGTGTGTTGTTTGTGTGTTGTGTGTGTGGCCTGTTGTGTGTGGTGTGTGTGTTGTGTTGTACGTTGTGATGTATGTGGTCTGGTATGTTGTGGTGTGTGTTGTGTTGTGTGTGTTGTGTGTTGTGTGGTGTGTTGTGTGCTGCGTTGTGTGGTGTAATGTGTGTGACGTATTGGTTTGTGTGTTGTGTTGTGTGTTGTGCGGCGTGTTGTGTGTTGTGGTGTGTGTTGTGTTATGTGTTGTGGGTTGTGTTGTGTGGTATTTTGTGTATTGTGTGGTATGTTGTGTTGTGTCTTGTGTCGTGCGGTGTGGTGTGTGTTGTGCTGTGTGTTGTTTTGTGTGTTGTGTTTCGTGTTGCGTGCTGTGTTGTGTTGTGTTGTGGTGTGTAGTGGTGTGCTGTGCTGTGTTGTGTTGTGTTGTGCCGTGTTGTGGTTTGGTGTGTTGTGGGTGTGTGTGCTGTGCGCGTGTTGTGTGTGTTGTGTATGTCGTGTGTTGTGTGTCGTGTGTCGTGTGTTGTGTGTGGTGTGTGTGGTGTGTGTGGTGTGTTGTGTGTGGTGTGTGCGTGTGGTGTGTGTGTGTGTTTGCGTGTGTGTGTGTGTACGTGTGTGTGGTGTGTGTGCGTGTGCGTACGTGTGTGCGTGCGTACTTGCGTGCGTACGTGGGTGTGTGTGTGTTGTGTGTTGTGTGTGCTGTGAGTGTGTTGTGTGTTGTGAGTGTGTTGTGTGTTGTGTGTTGTGTGTTGTGTGTGTTGTGTATGTTGTGTGTGGTGTGTGTTGTGTGCGTGTGTTGTTTGTGGTGTGAGTTGTGGTTTGTGTGTGTGGTGAGTGCTGTGTGTTGTGCGTGTTGTGTATTGTGTGTGTGCTGTGTATTGTGCGTTTTGTGTGTTGCGTGTGTGTGTCGTGTGTGTTGTGGGTGTTGTGTGTAGTGTGTTTTGTGTGTTTTGTGTGTTGTGCGTGTGCTGTGTGGTGCGTGTGTGTGTGCTGCATGGTGTGTGAGTGTGTGTGTGTTGTGTGCTGTGTGTGTGGTTGTTTGTGCGGTTGTGTGTGTGATTGTGTGTTGTTGTGTGTGTGTGTGTGGTGCGTGTCGTGTGGTGTGTGTGGTGTGTGTTGTGTGTGGTGTGTGTTTTGTGCGTTGTGGGTTAGTTGTTTTGTGTGGTTGTGTGTTGTGTGTGTTGTGTGTTGTGGGTGTTGTGTGTGTTGTGGTGTGTGGTGTGTGTGTGGTGTGTTGTGTGTTTTGTGTGTGTTGTGTTGTGTGTTGTGTGTGTTGTGTGTGGTGTGTGGTGTGCGTGTTGTGTGTGTGTTGTGTGTGTGGTGTTTTGGTTGTGTGGGTTGTGCATGGTGTGTGTTGTGTGTGGTGTGTGGTGTGTGTCGTGTGTCGTGTGTGTTGTGTGCTGTGTGTTGTGTGTGTTGTGTGTGTTGTGGGTTGTGGTGTGTGTGTGTTGGTTGTGTGTGTTGTGTGCGGTGTGTGCGTGCTGTGTTTGTTGTGCGTGTTGTGTGTGTTGTGTGTGAGGGTTGTGTGTTGTGCGTGTTGTGTGTGTTGTGTGTTGTGTGTGTGTTGTGTATGTTGGTGCGTGTTGTGTGTTGTTTGTGTGGTGGTGTGTGTAGTTGTGTGTGGTTGTGCGTGTGCTTGTGTGTGGTTGTGTTTGGTTGTGTGTGTGGTTGTGTGTGTGCTTGTGTGGGTGGTTGTCTGTGTGGTTGTGTGTGGTTGTGTGTTTGTATGTGGTTGTGTGTGTGGTTGTGTGTGCGGCTGTGGTTGTGTGTGTGGTTGTGTGTGGTTGTGTATGTGGTTGTGTGTGGTTGTGGTTGTGTGTGGTTGGGTGTGGTTGTGTGTGTGTGTTAGTGTGTGTGGTTGTGTGTGTGCTTGTGTGTGGTTGTGTGGTTGCGTGTGTGTGGTTGTGTGGGTGGTTGTTTGCGGTTGTGCGTGTGGTTGTGTGTATGAGTGTGTGTGTGGTTGTGTGTATGTGTGTTTGTCCGTGTGTTGTGTGTGGTGTGTGTGTTGTGTGGTGTGTGTGTGTGTGTGTGGTTGTGTGTGTTGCATGTTGTGTGTTATGTGTGTCGTCTGTGTTGTGTGCGTGTTGTGTGTTGTGTCTGTTGTGTGTTGTGTGTGGTGTGTGTGGTGTGTGTGTTGTGTGTGGTGTGTGTGTGTGTTGTGTGTGTTGTGTTTTGTGTGTGTTGTGTGTGAGTGTGTGTGTGTGCGTGTCGAGCTTTCGCCGCCTGGCCGCCCGTGGCCGCTTCGAGGCCGCCTCGTTGCCGCCCGCTTGGGATGTGTGTCGAGGTTTCGCCGCGTTTCCGCCCGTGGCCGCCTCGTTGCCGCCCACTTGGGGTGTGTCGAGGTTTCGCCACGTCGCCGCCCGTGGCCGCCTCGTGGCCGCCCAGTTGGCGATTGAGGCGAGGTTTCGCCACGTCGCCGCTTCGTGGCTGCCCACTTGGGGGGTGTGTCGAGGCTTCGCCGCGTCGCCGCCCGTTGCCGCCTCGTTGTCGCCGACTTGGGGGGTGTGTCGAGGTTTCGCCGCCTGGCCGCCCGTGGCCGCTTCGAGGCCGCTTCGTTGCCGCCCATTTGGGGGTGTGTCGAGGTTTCGCCGCGTCGCCGCCAGTGGCCGCCTCGTTGCCGCCCACTTGGGAGGAGTGTCGAGGTTTGTTTCGCCGCGTCGCCGCCCGCCTCGTTGCCGCCCACTGGGGTCGTGTCGAGGTTTCGCCGCGTCGCCGCCCGTGGCCGCCTCGTGGCTCACACAACATAGCTTACACCGCACAGCTTATACACCATAGCTTGCACCGCATAATTTGCACCGCATAGCTTAACCACATAGCTCACATCTCATAGCTTTCACCGCATAGCTTTCACGACATAGCCTGCATCGCATAGCTTACATCATATTGCTCACACCAAAAGGTGTACACTGCATAATTTTCGCAACATCGCATACACCGCATATTGTTCACCTCCGCAATGCACTAATTCACTGTGTGGTGTCCACGCTACTTAACATTTGTCTGCATAAATGTATGCACACAAATGTATTTATATGTACAATTTAAAAATGGATGTACAAAATCATATATAGTGCAGCGTAAATGTTGCAATGCGTAGGCTGCAAGTTACACATCTGTTACCGCAAGGGCTGCAGAGGGAGGGTGCAAGAAGTCACTCTGTTGGACCCACGCTGGCAGACATTGATCCAACCGTGCATACTTGAGAGGTTCGAGTCATGAGCGAGATGAGCAGTCGTAGGAGTGCCTGATTCGGAGCCTCGCCGCTGGCTTCCAGCCACGGGTCGAGCAGTTTGGCGGGCCCTGGGGCCCCGTGCCCGCCTGCGGCGGCTTCGGCTCCCTCGCCGAGGCTCTGCGGGCGGTGCTGCAGGCCTACGTGCGCCTCCTCTGGACGGTGCGCGCCGGTGCGTGCGCGTTCCCCGCGTTCTGGGCGGAGCTCCACGGCGGGGAACGGCACGAGGAGCGCAAGGTGCCCGGCGCCGTGGCTGGAGAAGAGCAGGTAGCTGGCGCGCGGTGCACGCTGGGAACGCAGCAGCCGTCCTCGACTCGCCGGGTCGTGTGGGCCGTGGTCCACAGCGGAGAGAGAATAGATAACCAGATTCAGTCTGGAGGGAAGTGTCGGAGTCGGTCGTGGGTTCTGCATTCGGGGGAAGTCAGTTTCCGATTGTGCAAGATTCATCCCGAGTGGAGTGGTTTCTGATTCTCCTGTCCTCAGGTCTGGCGCCTGCTCTGGGCCCGCGTGGCGGCCGAAGCAGGGGCGCCAGAACAGGAGCTCACCCAGGAGTTTATGGAGCTGCGGCAAGCCCTGAGAGACGGCGACGCAGCTATGGAGGGCACGAACGCCTCAGAAGAAGCCGCGAGAAGGTTGGCCTTGCTTGCCGACCTCTACATCGGCGCCACGGCGATGGTAGACATCTAGATGCCTATGAGTGGGGGGAGGAGGAGGAGGAGAAGGAGGAGGAGGAGGAGGAGGAGGAGGAGGAGGAGGAGGAGGAGGAGGAGGAGGAGGAGGAGGAGTGGAGGAGGAGGAGGAGGGAGGAGGAGGAGGAGGAGGGCCAGCACGCGCTGCGCCGTGACCATATTACTTCAGGGCAAGTGTATTCTCTGCGCCGCAGTACGCTTGCCTGCAGCGCATGCTTACCCGCAGCATGTGCGGCAGGGCGTTCGGCGGCCCGTCCCCCAAAGGGCGCTCACGGGTACACGTGATTATTGGTTCGGACGGAGAGTGGAAAAATGCCCTCCTCCTCCTCCTCCTTCTCCTCCTCCTCCTCCTCCTCCTCCTCCTCCTCCTCATCATCATCATCATCCCTGGAGGGTTCTCGTCGCCACGGGAGAGTGGAAAAGGGCGAACATGATCCGCCAAGAGATGATCAAATGGCGAATGGTCAGAGAGGAGGCAGCAGAGAATACAGTCGGGGCCCTGAAGAAGGAATCCTTTTCGTTGGGGAGGGGCTCCGCGTTCCTTAAGTGTTTCACAGCTTGCCTCAGGTTTTCCCAAGGTTTTCGATGGGGAATCGAAGTTTAACTTCTGGAGAAAAGGGGCCTCGTTCCTTATTTAGGGTTCCTTAGGTCAACGCCCCTTCTGTATTGGTTCGGACGGAGAGTGGAAAAGGGCAAACATGATCCGCCAAGAGATGATCAAATGGCGAATGGTCAGAGAGGAGGTAGCAGAGAATACGAGGGAGCAGGCGAGAGAGTTGGAGGGCGCCGTCGGCGATCCGTTTACGACCCGTTGGCTCATTTGTTCCTGCGACTTTCATGCGGGCCCGCTGGACACCACCGATACGCATGTGTTCGCACTTGCGCATGTCTGATGTCAGGCTGTGGCAGTGTGCGTCAGTGTATCAGAGTGCGTGCTTGTGTGTGTGTGCGTGTGTGTGTGCACGTTTGCATTGGAGAGGCCTTACAGCCTGTTCCGCGACCCTGATGGGGGGATCAGGAGGGCGGCCCTAGGAAGGCCGTGGAGTCTTGGAGGCTTGTCGGAATCTCTTCGGAGGTCTCTCGGGGGCATCTCTGAAGCATGTATTGAGTTTCTTGGGGTCTCCTAGGGGCGCGCTGGCGGTCCCGGAGGGTATACATCTAGTGGCACAGGGCCCAGTTCGCCACCGTGCTTGGGTTATGGGTCAGAGGCCTCTTGGATGCATATCGGGATCTCTTGGAAGGCCTCGCGGGGGCCTTTTGGAGGCAATTTCAAAGCCTCTCTGGGCCTATTGCGGGCCGCTTGCGGTGTCTTTTGGGGCCTCTTGAGTACCTCTTGTCGGGGAAACGTAAGACTCGAGTACGCCGGAATTCGGGTTCGCCTACGCTTTTTGACGAGCCCGCCCTGGATGTTGACGGTCCACTTTCCGTGGGATGTCTGCAGCGGGGGCTCGCGCCAATTTTCAGACTGGGTCTCGTCATTTTTCTGACGGCCCCGTCAGGCCAACCCGAGTCCCCCGTACCCGACTCTTACGTCTCCCCAATCTTGCTCGCTTGCGGGCAAAGGGCTCGACATGTCCATCCGGGTTCCCCCTCTTGGAGACATATTGGGGCCCTCCTGGGCCGTCTTGAGAGCCTCTGGGGCGGTCTTGGGGCATCTGGGGCCATCTTGGGGCGTCGAAAGCCGGAAAAAACTAGATTCTAACTCCTTCTAAGACAAGATCGCTTATGTTTGCCTCTTGGGGCCCTCTTGCGGGCGCTTTGAGAGCGCTCTTGTGGCGTCTTGGGTTTTTGGCGACCGTCTTGGAGCGCTCTTTGGCAATTTGAAACCCCTCTTGGATTATATCGGGCCTGAATTGGCGAAAGAAGGCCGAACTTGCTCGATGGCGACCCGAAAGGGGAAGGGGGTGACCGTATTCTGACCCGGGACACACACACACACACCTGGGAGCCCCCCTCTGGACCCCCTCCCGGGGTGGGGAAGGAATGAAAGTGCTTCCTTTCGACTCGATTACGACCTCGATCACGACCTGGCTCGAGCCGACAAGCGAGCCAAATAGATCTCAAGGAGGATTTCTGGGAACAATGGAAGCGAGGGATCGTTTCCCAGGACCATCCCGGGACGATTAGCCCAGTTTTTCTTTTCACGCGTGCCGACAGGGTCGGCGGATTCCCTTCGACGTAGCTTGTCTTGGTATTATCGCGACTGTGGTGTCACATCGCCGTCGGGCTGACAAAGTGTGCGCGCTTGTGCGTGAGTAGCGTGTGTGTGTGTGTGCGTGTGCCTGCAGAACTGGGAGATATGTCTGGGAGTGGTATGTGTGTGTCCGTGTCGGTACGACGCGCATGTGTGAGTGAGGGAGGTATGCTTGTGCATCGGGATCTTCGGAATTTGAGGATATCAGGGATATTAGGAGGCGTGGTCTGAGGGTCATTGATATCATGCGTTTGTTGGGATCTCTGCTGGCGGAATGAAGTATCATTGGGCAGGTGTAGCGGATGGTTTGCGGGATGTCTGGTGTTTGCGCCGCTGCTTGTCACGTGGGCGTGCATGGGTTATTCGCCGCTGCAAATGAAGCAGACGCAGTAATGTTGCGCATGGGTTGGCGACGAGTATTCGCACAGGCTCAAGGGAGGACCAAGTGCATACGTGAACGAAGAAAGGATGTGACGCGCACTTGTGTGTCTCGGATGTGTGTTTGACACTATCGGCGATGCCGCCGCGTTCTTCCCAGCGGCTGCTGGAGTGCGGCTCCATTAGAGCCGCTTAGGCCGCGAACGCTCAGGTGACGCAGGGAACTCGAATGTAAGAGAATGGGTGAGGAGGGGGAGGCGGGGGATGAGGAGAGGGAGGGGGACTGGGAGCAGGAGGGGGAGTGGAAGGGGGACGGGGAGAAGGAGGGAAAAGTTCGTGGAAGGAGGGACGATAAAGGAGGAGTAGAAAGGAGAAGAGACGTCAGACCATACCCTCAGATCGTCGTACTTCCAATGTTGTAACGCACAGGCCCCATACGGTTTGCGTGCATGCGTAGACGTGGTCGTGATTCACCGAGAACTAGTAAGCCGAGAAAGCAAAGAGAGTTCGTGCGGCTTGGACTCCTGTCCCCTGCAAGCAGGGGCAGAGAGAATCGCACGCCTTATACTCCTCGTCTTCGAAGGGAAGAGGCTTGAAAAGAGAAGAATACTCTAGACGCTTCGCGTAACCCCACCAGGCAACTCGGCGCCTGCGCTTTCGCTTGCGCCCACGAGGAAAAGTAATCCCACCAGGCTCTCCCGCGGGTTTGCCCCACGCCGCAGTCACCACGGGACACCACAGTGCCAGCTAATTACCCACCACTTTGGCGTGCACCCCTGGGCGGTTGCTGGCTGCCGATGGCACCCCCTCCGTGAGCGCCGCGCGGCCCGCCCCGGCTAGCTCTCCTCCCGCTGCTCTCTTGTTGTCTTTCTTTTCTCTCTCCCGTGTGCAATTTCGGCTCCCGCTTGTTAGCTGTAGCTTCGGACGGCGCGCGGTCCTTCCGCTTGCGCTCGCGATCAGAAGACAAAAAATAAAGAGGGAGGGAAGGAGGCATGAGGGAGGAGGGAGGGAGGAGGAGGAGGAGGAGGAGAACGAGGAGGAGGGGTGGAAGAGGAAGAGAAGCAGGCAGGAGGGCGGCGAGGGAGGGGCACGGAGGAAGGGGGGAGGAGAAAGAGCGGGAGAGAGAGCGGGGAGGTGGAGTGGGAGACCCCGTGGAGGCCAGCGGAGGTTTAGAAATGCCCAGAAACTTGGATCCTCGATCCCCCACCATCCTTTCCCGCAGGTTTCGATTGTCGTGCCCAACCCAGCTGACAGGGAGTGACCCTGTCTTCGTGGAGAGTCGCTCTGGTCCCTCGCCCGTACGGGGGGTCCTCGGTCATGGACGGGGCCTGCTTCAGGGCCGAGAGCGAGCCACGCCTGACCACCGCCAACTGCCACACGACTCCAGCGCCGCCAGGCTCGAGGCGGCGCCCGCGGCAGGGGCGGGGAGGAGGGGGGCGTCTATCCTCCAGGGGGTCGTGGGACGGCTCGCGCCAGGAGCTGCCTGCCGCGTGGCGCGCGGCCATGGCAGCGGATCCGCCGGCCCCCGCCGCCGCGCGCGCCAGCCGGTGGCGGCGCGCGGCGACCCAGGGCGCCTCGGCAGAGGAGGACACGGTGGCCCCGCCGGTGCCAGCTCCACTGCCCGCGCCTGGGGCGCCGACTGCAGCGCCAGCCAGCGCCGAGCCTTCGCGCTGGCGGCGGCCAGCGGCCGCGGAGGCCGCCCGGCTGGAGGCGGGCGCCGGAGGGACCTCGGAGGCCGGCGGCGGGCACGCGGCGGCGGGGTGTGAGGGGCTGGCGCCCGCCTCGAACGTGGCGCTGCGTTCGGGCGTCGAGATGCCCGCGCTCGGCCTGGGCACCAGGCAGCTGGAGCCGGGGGGCAAGTGTCAGGAGGCCGTGAGGGCCGCGCTGCGCGCCGGCTACCGCCTCGTCGACACCGCCGCGGCATACGGCAACGAGGAGGACGTGGGCAATGCCGTCCGCGGCGCCGGGCTGAGGAGGGAGGACGTATTCCGAGGAATACAGAGCGGCATGAGCATAAGCTCTGTCGGAGGTCCGCGCGGGGATGTTTTGGGTCGACGCCGGGCCCCCCCCTGGCGGCGCCTGCGCCGACCGTCGGCCCAAGAAATCCGTGCGGACCTCCGAAAGTTTATGCTTGGGCCGTCTTCTATTCCTCCTGTATTCCTTGTCACGAAGCTGGCACCCGCAGACCACGGTGGCGTCGAGGAGGTGCTGGAGGCCCTGCAGGCCTCCCTGAAGCGTCTCGCGACGAGCTACGTGGATCTGTACCTGGTCCACAGCCCGAAGGGCGGCTCCCTGCTGGAGACGTGGGACGCGATGCTGGAGATGAGGTCAGGGGCAGCATCAGGGGGGGACAGGCTCAGGGGGGGAGGGGGGGGCGCATCGACCCCCGATCGCCCACTCATCGCCGATAGGTGCCCGATAGCCCACCCCGCCCAGAAGCGTGCGGAGTCGCTATCGAGCCCCATCGTCATTACGTTGGCGATGCATCGCCGATTCAAAATCGATATTTCCCCCCCCCGAGCTGGCCCCCCGCTGAGTTCCCTCTCATGAGGGCGAGGGGCCTGGCGCGCGTTGTGGGCGTGGCGAACTTCGGCGCGGCCCACCTGCAGAGCCTCGCCGCCGCAGAGCGCGAGATGCCCGAGGTCAACCAGGTGGAGCTGCACTTCCGGAAGGCTCCAAGACGGCGTGAGTCAGAGAAGCAAGCAGTCATGATAGTGACACGTTCCGAGACTTCCAGGATCCCCTAGATCTCCCAATGCTCGACACACGGGCTGCAGGGGCGAGGGCCGTTGGATGCTCTGGATATGCCGGGACGTCTCCTGAGCCATGCGCAGCATGGCATCATCCTCGCCGTCGTGAGCACAAGCTCCAAGAGGCCCGCGCAGATTTCGTGGGGTCGGCAGCCAGGCCCCCCTCCCCACACCACCTCCCCAGCGCGCTCTGCGCGGCGGGGGCGGCGCCCAGAGGCCTTGCCGGGAGCACAGTCAGCCCGCATAAGTAAGGATGGGCACCCTTCCCAGGGGTACCCCCATTGCATCCTTGCCTCCGCGGTGCATCCTTGGCCACGTTCGTTGGCCGCACCCCGCTCGAAAAGCTTCGACACCGGCGTCCAGGGCCCTTGCATCCTTACCGCGCATCCTTGTAATACGGGCCGGCTGCATGAGGAGGAGGGCCTGGCGCCGACCCGGGCAGTCCCCGCGAGCCTTCTTGTCGTGCCGTGCTCCTCCAGAGCACCCGCAGGGGCGCGAAGAAGGCAGCGGCGCTGCGCGCCTCGCGGTCTGGGCCGGAGCGGCGCCCTGCCCCAGGGCGGGACGCGCGAAAGGGCGCGACGTGGGGCGGCCCGGCCGCCAAGTCGGGCCGGATGAGCAGGGCGGCCTCGCAAGGTCGAGGGCGCCCCCCTTGTGCCCTGCCTGCAGCCAATCCGCATAAGGATGCACGACGAGGATGCAAGGGCCTTGGAAGGCCGCCTCGAAGCTTTTCGAGCGGGGCGCGGCCAACGGAAGTGGCCACGGACGGACCGAGGAGGCAAGGATACAAGGGTACCTTTGGGAAGGTTGCCCATCCTTACTTACGCGGGCTGACTGTACCGCGCCTCGGCGCCCCGTTCACGCCTGGAGCACAGGCCGGCTGCCCCCAGAGGAGGCCCTCGTGCCCTCCCAGGTGCGGCAGCCATGAACAGCCGACCTTCCCTCCTCCTCCTCCTCCTCCTCCTCCTCCTCCTCCTCCTCCTCCTCCTCCTCCTCCTCCTCCTCCTCCTCCTCCTCCTCCTCCTCCCCCTCCCCCTCCCCCTCCTCCTCCTGCCCCTCCTCCTCACTGCACGCCGCTCCTGCGGGTCTTCCGGCCCTCGCGAACCAGCAGCGCCCGCTGGCGGCAGTCTGCGCGCGTGCGGGCGTGCGCCTCATGGCCGCGTGCCCCCTCGCCCGGGGCCGCCTCTTCGGCGGGGCGACGGCCTTGGGAGCGCTGGCCGCGAGGCGCGGGCGCTCGGAGGCCGAGCTCGCAATCCGATGGCCGAAGAGGAAAAAACGCCATAAACTGAAGTCGGTCTACAAGAGGGATATTCAAAAATAGTCAAAACATAGTATAGGGGACGATTTTTCGAGTATTTGTTTACACTATTGTTCGACAATTGCTTGACTATTTCCATTCGTCCAAAATCCGCCTGTAGGGGGACATGCCCGACCTAACCACGCACTTGGATCCGCACTGGGCCCCCCTGGCGGCGCCTCCAGCGCCACGCCCCTGGCGCGCTCCGCGAGCCAGGGAGGGGGGCCCGGCGCGGATCCAATAAGTCCGCGCGGAGCGCCAAAAGCTTATGTTTATGGCGTTTGTTCTTCTTCTACCGATGGTGCATGCAGCGGGGATTCGTGCCCATCGGGCGGCGCGCAGGGGGGGGGGAGGGCGTGCGCGAGAGGGGCGGGCTCCTCCGCCCCGGGCCTATCCCCCCGCGTCGTGGAAGAAGTATTGCGAGGGGAGGCCTCCGCCAGGCTTCGGCCCTTGCTGGGCCCCAGGGCCGTCGGAGAATGATTGAGGCTGCAAAGCCGATGCCTACAAGCTTCGTCAGAAGTAAAATGAAGCGCCCCATAATTCGGGCACTTGTCAGAAAACGCGTTCTTCAATGCTCGCGAGGGCACTGCCGAATTTCGGACACCCCTGCGCATGGGCCAGACGCCTCATGCTAGCATTGAAGTAGCGCCGGCCGCGCAGGCGCCGAAATCACAAAAACCGACATGTTATGTTTGACGAGTCTTGTAGGGAGATGAAAAGGCTGTTGGGGCTCCTAGGCGGGTGGCAGGGTGTTTCCCAGAAGGGACTTTCGGAAGGCGGGAAGGGCCTCTGAGACAATCCCTGCCCTCTGAGGAGGCCACCCCACTCGCTCCACCCCCGATTTGCGCGACGCCAACCCATGCTGGGCAGCAAAGGGAATGCACTCACCCCACCACACTCTGGCTGGAAGATGTTGTGAAGGATGGAGGAGTAGGGGGAGGGCTTTCGGAATAGCGGAGGACAAGGGGGAGAGGGTGTGGTAGTTAGATGCCGCCTTTTGCTGCCCTCTACATCCCCAAGACAAAGGACGGCTCCCGAGTTGAGGCCAACGCCCCATTCGGGTTTTCCCTCGGCGCGGGTGAGATGGCGGAGATAGACGCTCTCGACCGCGGGTTCTCCGTCAGCACCGCCACGAAGAGCCTGGCGCTGCCGTGGGAGGAGGTCGCCGGGGAGCTCTCGGAGGTGAGCGAGGCTTTCTGTCCACTCCTCCTCTATCCTGCTCATGTTCAGCCGCATCATCATCGGCATCGTCATCGTCACCATCAGCAGCAACTTCATCATCCGCATCATCATCATCATCATCATCATCATCATCATCATCATCATCATCATCATCGTCAGAATCATCATCATCATCAACAACAGCACCATCACAATCAGCACCATCATCATCAGCAGCAGCATCATCACCACCATCAACATCATCATCAATAGCATCGTCAATGTCACTATCATTATCGTAGTTGTCATCATCATCATCCTCGTCATCATCAGCAGCAGCATCATAATATGCTCCTCCTCTTCATCCTCCTCCCCATCCTCATCCTTCGAGTCGTCCGTTCCTCAAAGAACGAGTCGGTGTTTCCTCATCACCATCATCCTCCACCTCCTCCTCCTCCTTCTCCTCCTCCTCCTCTGTTTGGTGTTTAGTTTCCTCCCCCTCCTCCTCCATCTCCTCCTCCTCCTCCTGCTCCTTCTCCTCCTGATACTTATGTTTGTCATCCTCGCCCTCCTTCCCATTCCTCGTCCTCCTCGTACTCCCCACTCCGCTCTCTTTCCCCCCCCTCCCTATCCCTTACACATCATCCTCGTCCTCTTCCTCATCATCCTCTTATTCCTGGTCGGTAGCAAGTTGTGCAGCATCCTCGCAGCAGCAGTGTCAAGAGAGAGAGCCGGGGGGGGAGGCAAACCCATATGTTTTGCTTATAATAACACAGCTGAAGACTGAGAACGAAGGAAAAAACAAAACAAACAAAAACTGTTTAACAACAGGCGTCCAGCAAAACACGCATGAGACTGATAACGAAATAAACAACAACCACAACAACAACCATAAAAACAAAAAAAAGGCGTCCGGCAAAAAAACTGACACCGTGTACACGCATGCCAGTGTATGTACACATGATTTACGCGCGCGTGCCCGAAGGAATCATAACGGCTAGGGGAAACGACCCCGACGGGGCATTATTACCCCAGAGAGACCCGAGGATCCCAAACGCGACAACCATGCAACCAGCGACGGCGGCGCGCGGGCGAGGCGAAGAGCGACGTGGCCAAGGAAATCCGAGGCAGCGGGTGGCCAAGGCCCAAAAATAATAGGCGAGAGGCACGACACCCTTGGCGAGGTAGCTGCACGCGGCCCGAAGAGTGGAGTCGACCCCTCTTCCTCCTCCTCCTCCTCCTCCTCCTCCTCCTCCTCTTCCTCCTCCTCCTCCTCCTCCTCCTCCTCCTCCTCCTCCTCCTCCTCCTCCTCCTCCTTATCATCATCCTCATCCTCCTCCTTCTCCTCCTCCTCCTCCTTTTCCTCCTCCTCTCCATCCTCCTCCTCCTTCCGTAGAGCGCCAGTTCGGCCCGAGCTTGCGGGCTCATCGCGAGCCCGCGCCACGGACGCCCTGTCGCCGCCCTCGTCCGCGCGCCTCGCCCCCCCCCCGCCGCTAGCGATGGAAGAGTTTTCGGCGCGGCGGCCTCGCTAGCCGAATCGGTCCGCCGCCGAGCGCCGCGCCCAGTTCAGCCGCGCCGACGGGCGGGCAGGTGGGTGGTTGCTGACGGCGTTCGCCGATATCGATCGCCACCGCGGCTTGGGCGTCAGCGCTCTTGCCTTGGCACTGCGCTCGGCACTTGAGGGCGTGCCTGCGGATGTGGACGAGGATGTTGTGGCGAAGGTCCCTGTCGTGCCGCCCGTGGACATCGCCGCCGGCGCACGCGGCGAAGCCCTTGTCGCTGGCCGCACCCTCGACGCGGATCCCCTGGCGCAAGCGGCCGTTTTGGCAGTTGCCATCGAGAACGAGTTGGCGCAGCTCCGCGCCTAAGCCCAGCCTGCCAAGCGGCGAACCGACGCTGAAGGAGAAGGAGGGGATGGAGGCGACGGAAGCGGCGGTGCACCGAAGGCTCGGAAGCCCGCGCGCGCCGCTCCGATGCCCCGAACGCTGCCCAAGGCGCCCACGGACCCCGGCGGTGTCGAGACGGCGACCGCGTTGAGGATGCACAGGCGCTCGGGCGCTGGCTCGGGCAGTTTGGCCGCCACGGCGCAAAGTTTCGACGCCGCCTCGGGGGGCCGCGGAAGCCGCAGTCGCAGCAGCAGGAATCCCTGTCCCTCCTCGGCATCCTGGTGCACGTGGCGTCTGATATTCGCTCGGCTGCTGGCTCATCGCCTTGGCGCGCTTCTCGGAGGCGCGTCGCCCCCTGCAGTCGCATCGCGCTGCGCGCACTTCTTCGAGGATCTGTTCTAATTCGCGGATGGCCGGCTGGCGCCAGCGCGAGCGCGCCTCCTCGGACGGGCAGTACCATTGGGAGCGCCTAGTGAAGAACTGGGCGCGTACACCTCCTCAGGGGCGCGTGAGACGCTTTCCGTTAGCTGAACGCGCGGCATTCTCAGCTTGTTCATCGCGGGCGGTTTCGAGGTTCGTCTGCAGATTCTCCGAGGCGGGCTGCCGCAGCACGGGCCTCCGCGACGGGCGGCGACGGGCACTCCCGCGCGACCGATGACCACTTCTTGGGAGCACGATACTCGATGCCCTCCCTTCCGTGGCTATCTCGGCTCATGACTATGGCAATTGGTCCGCGATTGCGCCAGGGCGGTTCAGCCTGACTGCGCGCGCCAGCACTGCACAGGCAAACTGGCTGGTTCTGCATGCGGCAACGGCGTGCGCCATACGTCCATGCCGCGGTGGCGAAGCGCAAGAACAAGACTGATGATGGCGCCAGGCATCCTAACAAAGCTCCTCGTGGCGGCGTGCCCGATAGGTCCGGCAGTCGCAGCGCAGCACCAGGTGAAGACGACGGCCCCCTCCTCGACGACGCTGACGACGAATGGCAAGGCGCGCACATTTGGGACGTCGCCCAAGGAATACCCATGGACAACCACGAGACAACCACGCGAGAACTCCCATCCGCCATGGCCAAGTCTGCAGGCGAAGAGACCAAGACAGCAATCGACCCAGCGCAGCACAAGGTGCCAGCTGGATGACGCACCCAGGGCAGCGCCCTCCGGCGCCCAGGCGGCCCTCCGCAGCGACCTCGGCTCCTCGAGAAGCGCGCGCAGAGGCGGATCGGCCCGATGGACGCGCGCACTCATGACCGCGACCAACAGGTCAGGCAACATGAGCAAGCCATCAGCAGCACGCAGCAACATATGTAAATTTGTCATTCGCGAGGGACTCGCCCTTGCCAAACAAGCACCTGCTCCGCCCCAAGCGCGACATTGATGGCGCGATCCGTCGTATCCGGAGCGGCGCTGGCCACGCGCAATGATGTCCGTGACGCGCATGTTTCGCTGCTGTTCGACGTTGACCTCCAAGACGCACGGGAGTTGCATCGAGAAGTGCAAGGAGAGTCACTCGTCGCACTGCGCAAAGGCCCCGCGGGGATATCATCGCGCAGGGCACGCCAAGCACTCGGAGCGCTCCAGGGCCCAATCGGCGTTATGCGTCTCCAAGTATTGGCTGTCGCCGAAGGCCACATTCATTTTCAGCCCAATCTCGGCCCCGACAGGAGCCCACACCAGATCCGCGCAGACATGCAGAGGGGGAATGGTGGATGCGCCCAAGAACAGTTCTGCGAACAAGACGCTATCCATGGACACGTTTCACGGCACAGGCGGGCGTCTGAGGGGCGGACGCAGCTCCTCACGTTCGACCCGCAACCTGAAAGGCAACCGACTTGGGCGCACTGGGCGGACGCGGCGCTGCGTGACAAAGGATGGACCAGGCAGCAGATGAATGACATCAGTCAGGACATTGCGGCACCCGATGCGGCTCCAGAGTGGTCTTTTTCGACGCGTGCCCATGTCTCGTTGCAGCCCGCGTTGTCCAGCGCTCTGGCTGATCCGACATCGCCTGTCTTTCATTGGGCGAATGACGCCAACGTTCGATTGTGGTGGGGCCCCCAACTCTATGAAAGCTATGCGTCTTCAAAGTTTAGCCATCCAGTCCACCATTTGACGGTCCAAGAAGTTCATCAATCGCCCGAACAGCGCAAAATTCTCATCCGCGAGATCGCCCCCTTCTCGGTCGCACGGCGCTCGTCATTACATGGCAGCGCGTAGCGGGCCAGCCACTAGTGCCGCGATGCAGGCCGATATTTTGCTGATGAGAGGCGATCCGCGAAATCGCATGACTGTCGCGGCTGGCGACTTCAACTTCGCTGCCAGAATCGACATGGATGCGCTCCGTCCGACTAGCAAGGAGACGACGGACACCGCCCCTTCAGTCCACACCGAGCGCGTCAAAAGGAGCGGGAGTAAGTTCTGCCAGATATAGATGGTCCGCGAGGAGCCGACTCACGTCTGCAAGATGACGGCCAAGCTCGCGTAGATCGATCGCATCTGGATCTCCGCCCCGTCAGGCATCTCGCGTCAAGCCGCCGTTTCCTGTCATGAAGTGTCTTCGCGCGAAGAGCTCACTGACGCCGGCATCTCTTGTCGCGCTGGCACACGAGGTCACGCGCGCCGACACCGGGGCGCCCCCAATCCGAAAGTTGTGTTCGGGAGAGAGGAGTTCGCCGCCAGTCCTGACCCGTTGGCTAAACATGAATTGGAGCGCCTGGAAAAGATTGTACCCTCAATTCGCTTTCCGAGGCTCAAGGAGCTGGCCCGCGAAGCGACCCACGCCACGCGCATGACGTTGCCGGCGAGGGGCGCCATGCTCCCTGAGAGCCAGATGACATTTGCCAGGCAGGCTGCCAGAGCTGCCCGGCGGCAAGAGTCGCCATCGTGCGACGAAGCTCACCAACACGACTGAAACGCTGAAGAGATGGTTGGCGGTCGATATGCGCGAGCAGGAATTCCTCCTCCAGGACCCCGAGCGCTTCCGATCTCGGACAGAGAGGGCTTGTTTTTCATGGCAGCTGACCGAGAGATTGAGGCTCTCTAGAAAGGTTCTCTAGAAAAGGAGTTCCGCGAAGCCATGAAAAAGAGCATTCACGGTCAGATCTGCAGCTGGGGCGCGACCAACTCTGGACACCCCTTGCTGAAC